ATCTTTCATTCCTTTAGAGCCAGCATGAAAAGTCAGCTGAGTACAAAACATAGAGAGGAAAACAAGAAGAAAAGGGACAAGAAGAGAGGGACACAGCTTAGTGCTTGGAAAAAATCTTTCATTCCTTTAGAGACAGCATGAAAAGTCAGCTGAGTACAAAACATAGAGAGGAAAATAAGAAGAGAGAGACAAAACCTAGAACAAATAACGGGTGCCTTTGGTTGGGACCTTACAAGAGCTTGTATCTTCTAACATGTTTACTAAAGATCAAATATTGTCCAAAATGACTGATGGAAGAGCTGGCTTGAAGTTCCTCCTCCTCTCTCTTCTTGTTCCTGCTCTGCATGCTTGGTGCCTCCTTTTCAACTCAACTGGGACTTGTGGAAGTTGTTGAAGTATTATTTCAGCAGTGAAGATGATAATGAGCTGCTTCCTATATCTTCTCTAAATTTTCCTGTAATTTTCTTCTTTGGAACTTTTTAATGCTGTACAAGTTTTAAAGCAAATGGTAATTTATTTATTTATGATTATTGCATTTTTACTCATTGCCTTATAGAGTGGATGAAATGATTAATTATTTTTGCAGGAAATAAATCTTTCCCACTGAGCAAAATTGGACTGAAAAGACATTAAAAAGCTGTCAATGATTTTTCCTCGTCTTTTTTTGGACTAAAGTGGGAAAAATAAGACCGACCAAACACAGCCCAATTTAAAGAAGTATTTCTGGACTAAATCAAGACTATGATGGACCGACCAGATTTAGCCTAAAAACCAAGGTCTAAATGACGTCTGGTTGTTTGGGGGGTTATTACTTATGAAGACATTCATTCAAAACAGATGTTATTAACCTGCTGTGTAATTGAGACAAAAAAACAAAACAGAACCACAGTTTTACAACAGTGTCTAAAGATCCTCTGCTAACAAAGTATTATACCGAGTTTTATGAAAGTACAATAGGACCTGTGTAGAAAGACAGAAATAGAGACAGCTCAAGGTGCATAACTAAGTTATTGGAATTTACAGTAAGTGTGGCTGAAGGAGGAAGAACATAATTTCAGCTAAACCAGAAATCTAAGACAAATCAAATACATGTTTAGATTTCACAGAGAGCTTCAGAAGGCTGCAGATGCAGAAGGAATACACTCAGCTTTTACAAACTCACTGGGAAAGAAAAAGACAATTAGAAGAATTTTATTGATAAAATTACTTTAGTCTATGGCTCTCAAACCTTGGCAGGAAACATTAGCGCTTAATTTTGTTTGATATGCATGGGCAGGAGTAAAGAACAGGGATGTTTCACCCCAGGCCTGAAACTGGTGGTGGCATGGATATGATGTTGGTCGGTCTGTAGATTGCTGGTTAGCGAGACGGTCTGCTGAGCTTTATGGGGAGATCCAGTGGCATGCATGAGCTGATACTAGAGCTTCACTCAGGGACCTGGAAGATGGAAGTCCAGCTTGGATAACACAGGTTGAGAGAACCTGTCCATGATGAGCAAGCATGAAGCGACAGTGGAGACAGAAAACTCTCCATAGGGAAGAAACCTCTAGCAAAACGAGGCTCAACATGGCGGTCTTCTGCCGGACTGGTTAAGATGAGACAGGGAACGCAGTAAGAGTCCAAGAGGAATGACACTGATGAAGCTTTAGCTTCGACGGTGGAGGAGGGGATGGAGGTGGGTTGAATCGGGGTCATCTGAATAGAATTCAGACATAGCCCAAACACTGCCTGTGCTTTGGGTAGCAGATGAGGGTAAGTAATCAGTTTATTTACTTAAACTCCCGCCTACGCTCCATTTTTTGTCAACCTTGTTCAACATTTGCAGCACAAGGTTTGTAGCAGCCAGTGAAATTCTGTTAAATCAGATCAGCGCAAAGATGAGCAGCTTGAATGTTATCAGATGCTGCATGTTTCTACCAGCTTCATTCCAGCTTTTTAATCAGAACTTAATTTCTGGACTAATTTCCTCTGATCCAGTGGATCACTGAGGTTGTTGAAGGAGACAGGGAGCTTTCTGTTGGATCGGTTTCTCTTTACTGTAGTTTAATCCAGGGAGGATTCCCCCCACCTCTTCGCTCTAATCCTTTTATCTTTTTGGCTTTACAGAGCAGCAATCATACTACGCAACCAATGAGAGCACTCGTTAAAGCCAGGGAATTGTCATTAGGTGATGGTTGAATAGTCTTCTAAAGAGGACGCTCTGGGTTAAATCTGAAAACAGTGTGTCTGAATTCCTTTTTCTTTTTGCACTTCAGGGAAATTTTCAAAAATATGTTGGTTATCAAATAAACTGAATACTAAACAAGCCTTGTGGGTTTAAATGCAGCAAGCCAGGTTCTGGTGATCTCAAATGAAGCCTGTGTTTTCTGTGCTGTTTAAATCCTCCTGCTGCCGATCTCAACTCATCTTTGGGGAAAAAGAATTAAAATAGAAGTGTCATAAAGTGAAATGAAACATAGTTTTAAAAGAACACACACAGAAAAAATGCAAGGACCATGCTATTAGCACTTAAAGAAAAGAGCCATTAAATGATGGGTCCATATTGGGTGATAACTGATCAGATCAAAAAGAAAATATGGCAGTGACAGTTTGGAACCTTTATTGGTGTCCTGGTCCCTTTTGGTTCATGAGGTAAACTTTAATAGAACAAAAGTCAACAGAAAGTCTTAATTCTTTTTGTCAGCTTATGCCTGAGATTCAATTCAGTTCAATTCAGTTTATTTCTATAGCACCAATTCACAACATGTCATCTCAAGGCATCTTACAGTTCAACAGATCATTCAGTCAAATTGATTTAAAGTTAATTGCATCAACTCATTGACTCGAAGACAATCCCCTCATACTAAGCATGCTTGTAGCGACAGTGGAGAGGAAAAACTCCATTTTAACAGGAAGAAACCTCCAGCAGAACCAGGCTTAGTGTGAGCGGCCATCTGCTGAGGCTGACTGGGGTTCAAGGAGACAGAAGCAGACATAGAAAAGGTAACTGTAAAAGGTGGCCCTGTCCAGGAAACACACAGCCAGGCAGACTGTCGGGTTCATAAATGTAGGTTTGCAAAAGAAGAACTGAAATACACAGCAATGGATACAATTTCTGCAGAAAGGAGAGACAGTTGAAACCCAGACTCAAACACACTGTCTCTCACTGGACCTCCTCCGCAGAGCATTTTATTAACAGAACATGACGCATGGTTACAAACAGAGTATTGTTCTGACAGAGCAATTGATCAGTTCATAAAGACAGAATGCTCCATCAGAATGACAAGGCAGGATGGTCTCCTGACTGAATCATGAGACAGGAGTGGAGCATCCCCTTGCTCAAATGTTTTATAAGCACACATACATTTTAAAATCATCATTGAATAAACCTAACACAGACGAGCTCTGAGCCAGCTCCCATGTCAGAGGATGAGGAGAGCACATCCAGTTAGTCACAGTCAGAGAAACAGGACTTCACTGGAAAACAGGTCGATCTCCAACATCTATAAACAAGTCCAAATCTTTTTTGTAGGGCTTTGGTGCAATTCCTTCTTTCCATCCTTGCAATCTGCTCACCCATTTTCTGATTAGGTCCGGTGCTGATTGGTCCACATGGCATTACAGCCACTATAACCATGTGTTCTGGTCTTTGCTCAGGTCTTCTCCCTGGATAAAGCGGATGCCTTTCAGGACTTCTACAGCCCCTTCAAAGCTGATGTGAAGAACAACATGTTGGAGCGCTGTGCTGAACAGATAGCCACCCTGTGTGCAACACTGAAGGAGTACCCTGGAGTCCGATACAGAGGGTGAGACAAGAGCTTCTTGTCTTTGGCTACTCCTCACAGTGTTGTGATGAAAACTAGGAGTTTAGCTCTCATTGAAGGTAGAATCTTAACTTTTAAAACAAATTGTGGGTAAAATAACAGGAAATCATTATGTAGTTAGGTAAAAAGACCATGAATGACCCACAATGGGGAAATTCACTCTGCATTTTGACCCATCCCCTTGAGGAGCAGTGCTGTTGACCTGGAGGTTTCTTTGAGTGTGGACCTAACTGTCTGATGAAAGGCAGCTTATCTCTTCCATGTTAACTCAGGCTAAACAGGATTCCAGTTCTCATCTTCAGATTTTTAACCAAAGAAAAAAAATAATAGGTGGAACATTTATTTCATATCTTCATTACCTCCAGTTTTAGTCATAAAGAGCTGAAACCCTCCAAAAGGTTGGTCTTGGTTCTAGAAATAAAAACTAATAATAATCTGTGCTTCAATTTACATCCACTGAAAATAATAGTGAAAAAGCCTTTAGTATCAATTCTATTTAATAGTTGTTACTCAAAATTAACCTTAAAGCATCTTCAGAACCCGGTTCTAGTAAAAGCACCTATATTAGGACCCCACTCAGGAACTACTCCAACATGTTGCTGAAGTTTTATGAGGCTCCATGTTTGCCCAGCTGACAATGTTGATCCTCAGTTTACTCTCTCAGTTTATTGAACTGCATTCATCACACACCCATTATAAAAACAATCAGACAAATGAGAACATGTGGTATTAAAATGTCTCTATTTCATGGCAGAGAGTACAAAGACTGTGCAGTTCTCGCTCAGATGCTTCAAGAAAAACTGGATGGATACAAGGCTGATGACCCAACCATGGGAGAGGTATGCTGTGGTGACACTTCACAAGTAATGAGTAGAGATAGACCAACGCATGGGCTGGTTGATCATTTTGGCTAATATTATCCATTTTTTCTTGTATCGACGGATGCTTATACATGTTGGCTGAATCCTTAGTGCATTCAGCAGCCATTAACCTGGCTCTATGGATTTGACCCCATGCAGGATCAGAATTCAACATAAATACACTAAACTGAACTATAATAAAGTGCTACTGGAAAGATGTAGTGTTGAGATGTTAAATTTCAGTTTAAGAGGGCCTCATAAAAAAATGGTGTTTTTTAAGCCCTTGAGAAATTATTCATAAAAGAATAAAATCAACCATCCTAAAAAAATTTTATTCTCTTTAGTTCCTAACGATCGTAGCTACTGTAGAGAGCCTGCAGCAGACAAGATTTTGCAACTCATACAAAGTAAAGGAGGTCCTAATATTAGGGAAAATCTGGCAGCAGATGAAGAAGACGTTCACTGAAAAATCCAAATAGTTATCATTACTTTAAAAAAGTATGTAAACTGGTTGTACTCAGAAAAAATAAGTACAGTGAAGTAGGTATTTTTAGTTTGTGCTCATTCAAGCTTTATTTGTACACTTATACATTAGTTTAAACAACTTAAATATTCAAATAGTATTCAATTTATAACTTACTTAGTTTTATTCAAGATTAAGAATACATTTTTTTATTTATTAAATGGTTAAATGGAAAGATTAATATATAGTACATCCAGCCGTCTGCCGCTTATTCCCTCAGTGTTGCAGTGGGTCTCCAGCAGTCTATGGGCAGAAGGCGGGGCACACATAGACCCTGGTCCAGGATTCAAACCTAGGACCTTCTCGCTGCAAGGGAACAGTGCTGTGAAACTGTTACACCCACTATTAGTCCATCTTGTTAAAATTAGGCTGACACAGCGTTTCTTTTTTATATTTCTCGGACTTAAAACCTGATTTACTTACTAAAACCATGGAAACCAATTGCACTTAAAAAGCAAGCGTTAAATGTCTCTAATATTGTTACATAAATCAGGTGCCAATCTTCTAAAATGTTCTGAATTACAGTTCAAAATACAGTTTTTTTCCCTTCTTTTTATGAACTTTAACGTTTGTCTGTAATGATATCCACAAACAGCATTCTGTAAATAAACAATAAAGTTACAACACTTAGCAAACATTTTTTAAGTGTGCATAAAGGAATGATTATCTTAAATTCCAAGTATTGTGATTTTTTTCACAATGCAAGTGAGCATTTCTTTACAAATACAAGTGATAAAATATAGTTGCTAACCTAGTAAAGTTATCTCTTAAGTTTTGTACGTCTGGCAGCTATTGAATGTAACAGTGATGGGAAATCTGGAGATCTTGCTGGTGGAGGAGATAGAAGAAGAACTACTTGGATCCAGGTTGCAGATTTCTTTAAATGAAACATGACCTTTGACCAGAGGCCCTGCTCCTTTCCACATCTCCAGCATGCTGCAGGTGTGACAGCAAACCCAGGTCTCCTTTACTAATGTTTTGACTTCCATGGCACAGCTGGAGCTCCACCCTGCACTAGTCTGACTGCCTTTTTGACCTAATTTCCTCTCACCGTGTCCTAGGCCATTATGTAAAGGGTCCCATGTCCTGGTCAGCCGCAGCTTTGAAGCCCATGCCACATCTTCAGCTCCTGTCTAAACTAGAATCATCTCCTACCGACTGTTTACTCCCTTAGAATTGGAACCCTTAGACAGTTTCCTTTTTTATCCAGTTTGACTTCCAGGATTCCCTGCCCTCTTTAGCCACAATATAGTCTCCCAGGTCCAAAGCTGCATCACCTACTCCATCATCATACATGCCTTCTCCAAAATCCTTTGCTTTGACTGACTGATTTGGAAACTAAATAAGGGGGATAGCAGAGAAATGAAAACTGCTGCATGAGCTGGAACCTCTTCATCCTCCTCCATAAGAATGATGAACGAGTTTGAAGGACTAGAAGGACTACGAGGCACCAGTGTTAGAAGTTAACTGCAGCTCAACTAGCTGCTGCTCTCCTCTGTCTCAGAGGGTCCTGCTGACGTCTTAGCTTCAACCTCCACTGAGGCTTCAGTTGATGCTTCAGTCTCTGTTATCAAAGATCTGGCCACTGCCTCTGCCTGGGTCCAGCTTGTTTTTGGTCTGTAAAACTCTTGACATTTTTAGTCATTAATAGTGAATCTAGCTTATGTCTCAACTCAAGTCTTTGGGGGTCCAGCCAATGTCTCGGCAGACGTCAGGTATTCCAGAAGCCCTCTATAGGTCATATCTTAAGAGTTCCTCTCTTAATAGAAGCCCCTTGAGCCCCAGTTGAGTTCACTGCACAAGTCGATTGGTCCTAGCCTCAAAGACTCAAGACTTCAATATCAACAATGGCCTTGAAGACACTTATATCAAAGCTAGCTAGGTAATACATGCATTTATATTGGGCAAAACATCAATAAGATGATATAAATGACACACCACCAATTTTGTGAATGTCTTTGTCTCTTAAGTTTCTAATTGATTGATTAATTGATTGACTTTATTGATCTCACACTGGAGAAATGTCCTTGTTACATCAGCTCAAATAGTCAAAGAAGAAGAATGTGCCAAAGGAAGAAAAAGGTGCATTGGATACATACGGTATATACAGTGCAACCACATATGACAGTTTTTGTTGAGAGAGAGAAATAAGAGAAATGTTGCTTCTGTTTTGAAATAAACTGATTAACTATCAATATTTGCATGAATGTGTTTTGAATACAGACATCAGCTAAAATTTAGTATCTTGGCTAGATCAGAAATAATTCAGAATCTGCATCAGCTATATTTCAGAGCGAGTCACAAAGATCTCCATTCACTATCTAACTCTGATTTAGGATAAAAAATTTTTTTTAATGTTTCTGCTCTGATGCTTCCAGGGTCCGGACAAGTGCCGCACTCAGCTAGTGATCCTGGATCGTGGATTTGATCCTGTCTCCCCTCTCCTGCATGAACTCACACTGCAGGCCATGGCCTATGACCTGCTGGGCATTGAAAATGATGTCTACAGGTATAGATGCTAACTTAGTATGGTTCAGTGTAATTATATAGCTCTAATTCACCACACTTGATATTGTTGCAGAATTATTTCAATCAGAATATCCAAACAGACTGGTTAAAATGTTGTTTGTGTGGAGAAACAGCAGTTTAGTTTGACTAACAGCTGTTTTGTCTATATGTTGGCTGATATTTATTTACTATTTACTATCTCAGGTGCTGTGATCTTTAAATTATCCACTGTGTATGAAAAAGGTATACTGATATACATTGAGACTAGAAATGGGCCTTCAGACAGGATGTAGAGCGCTGTCCTTGCTAATTGGTCAAAATTCAGTATATTTGAACCCTAACTCTTGCGTGCGAAGAACTTCTCTTTAGTTGTGCTTTGCTCGGCACAACACGTTTGTGCCCTTGCCACTGAAAACAATGGATTTCAGAGCATAGGGTGTGCGCACTTTAATGTTTAAATTGAAAGACGAAGCAATTACTGAAGCTGATCAATAATTGTGGAGCACATAAGGCCACTCTAAACCTGTCACTGCACGTCCCTCAGATATGAGACCAGTGGTATGGGAGAGACCAGAATGAAGGAGGTGGTTCTGGATGAGGACGATGACCTGTGGCTGACCCTGAGACACAAACACATCGCTGAGGTGTCAACGTGAGTAAGGAGAGGAGTAAGCGTGCTAGTCAGAGAAGACTTTCTGCTGTCTTTTCCCCTAACTGTGTGACTCTAAACAGGGCTGTAACTCGCTCTCTGAAGGAATTCTCCGCCAGCAAAAAGATGAACACAGGAGAAAAGGTAGAAGTCATGCTTCTAATTCTGCAAGAGCAGAATATTCCTAACCCATAGAGAGCAGCACTAAAATGGCTTAGGATGAATATTAAATTAAACATGTTTACATGACAATGTCAACATTTGCATAGTATCATGGAGATAGCATCCTTAGGCTTAATTTATACTTCACCTGCAAAAGAAATTGATTTGTGATTTAGTTAGTCAAAGAATATCATGAACATTAAGGTTGTTTATTTTCTCTAGATGTTGTCTCACTGGGTATCTAACCCATGTTCTTTCAGACGACCATGAAGGAGCTTTCTCAGATGCTGAAGAAGATGCCTCAATATCAGAAGGAGCTCAGCAAGGTAGGCCAAGTCCAAAGTAGGTTAAGTATCTCCTACAGCACCACTTCAAATGATATGACCTGACTTTTAAGACTTATATTGGTACCAAATTCGTTAAAAGAAAAAAAAAAAAAAGGTTTGTAATATGCTGCTTTAACTTGGTCATTCATGCTTGAAAGCCTAAAATGAGGCTGAGTTAAATCAATCTGAAATACTGGCTACAGTTCCTTTGAAGTGATGGAGAATGTTCATTGTATAGCTGTTCTAATAATGTCAAAACTCAGAACAGAACAGCCAAGACGGACAGTGGCATAATTCAAAAGTGATAATTTAAAAACGGATGATCTGAGTAGCAGCGGCTAGGGCTTCTATTATGGGAAAACTGGTTAAAGTTCAGCCCATGTCCTGAGAACAAGGTAGGATCCAGCCAGTGGGCTGCCAACAACATGCGGCGGGCGCCACCCAGAGTTTCCCAGATGCTGCAGTTCAGAGAACGGAGAACAAGCAGGAATCCGAAGCCGGGTCAGGCAAACAGATCAAAACAGGAACTGGCAGGCTAAGAGGGCCAGGAATCCAAAGCACTCATACTCGTCGTCGTCTCCCGCTTTATCCGGAACCGGGTTGCGGGGGCAGTAGACTAAGCAGAGACTCCCAGACTTCCCTCCCAAGCTGACACCTCCCCAAGCTCTGTTGGGGGAAGCCCTAGGTGCTCCCAGGCCAGCCGAGAGACATAGTCTCTCCAGTGTGTCCTGGGTCATCCCCTGGGCCTCCTCCCAGTGGGACGTGCCTGGAACACCTCCCGAGGGAGGCGTCCAGGGGGCATCCGAAGAAGATGTCCGGAATCCAAAGCAAGTTCAGGCAAACTGTTCAGATGGGAACAGGCAGGCTCAGTGGTTGAGAGGCAGAACAGGTCAGGATCAGTAAATCAGAAACACTAAGGTATGCTAAAAACCCTTGAGAGATAGAGATATTCTCGCCCTGATAACTGGATGCAAGCACCTTAAATAGAGGCAGGAGCAGGTGGATCAAATGAGCAGTGATTTGAAACCGGGCAGAGTTAGACAGGTGAATGCAATGAGCAACCAAGCCAGTCATAAGTGCCAAGATCATGACATCTAACAAACAATCCATGAAAAAAGGTTTAACCTTGAGCTGCTGCTACTGAGGAAAAATAGTCTGATCATGTAGCTTTATGCGATTACCTGGTAGTGGCTATTAGCACTAAACTTGCTAACAGAGTTTTTTTCCTTTCTGGCTTCAGTACTCCACTCATCTCCACCTTGCAGAGGACTGCATGAACCGTTACCAGGGCACCGTGGACAAACTCTGCCGTGTAGAGCAGGTATAACACACTCGCTCACACATAAACCAAAGGCCAGGCTTAGGGGCCCATTCTTTGAGCTCTAGTTTTCACTGCATCTTCCAGGGTCACGTAAGGACATACTTTAGTACCTGTGGTTTGGGGAAACAAAAGTTCAGTGATGCAATTCCACACTGGGGAAGAGGAACTTTATGTTTCCTTTAAACCCTGTTGTTATTCACTTGTTTGCAGGATTTGGCGATGGGGACTGATGCAGAGGGTGAGAAGATCAAGGATCCCATGAGACTCATCGTTCCCATCCTACTGGATGCCAACGTCAGTGTGTCTGACAAGATCCGCATCATCCTGCTCTACATATTCATGAAGAATGGTCAGACTCCAATGTCTGCTCATGAGTTTGGAAACAATGTTTCTCACTGATCTCTAATATTCTATCTATAGTTTAGTTTAAGACTGTCTTTCTGTGTTTTGGTCCAAAACTGAACATATTGTCCTTTTTTCCTTTTTGTTATTTATTTTACTTGTTTGATTTTAATTTGAAATTTCATTATTTTAATGTGTGTATGGATGCTTTTATACACATTCTGAATCTGTGTGGCAGGTGTGACAGAGGAGAACCTGTGCAAGCTCCTTCAACACGCTAATATCCCACCTGAGGACAGTGACATCATTTCCAACATGGCCCACTTGGGCATTCCTATTGTCACTGAGGTGAGCTGACCTGGATGGGGGGAGAGGAATAAAATTAGATACAAAGATTATATCATTCAGGTTATTAGGTTACCATCAATTCACAACAAATGTTCTCTTTACTGAAGGACATCTAGTTTAAACGGAGAAATATATGGTCAGTTTAGTCCAATACAGAGAGAGTTTAAATTAAATATTCTTGTTTCTTCCTTCCTAATAAACAATGCAGTCATGCTCAGCTTGTTGTTCAACAGTTCTCCAGCTATTGCCCAAAATCGACCCTCGAGGGTTGCTGTCCTGCAGGTTTTTGAGGTCTCTGCTTTAGCACAAGCAATTCTGATTGTTGCAATTCAGCAAAAGCATGTTAAACAGCTATCCATCCATTTTCCATCATGCTTTATCCCTGCTGGGGTAATAAGGGTTGCTGGTCTCCAGCTGTCTATCGGCGACAGGTTGCCAGTCCATTGCAGGGCAATACAGAGACAAACGAAAATTCACACACACTCACACCTAAGGAGAATTTAGACAAGCCAATTAACCTATCAGTCATGTTTTTGGACTGCGGGAGGAAGCCGGAGTACCCAGAGAGAACTCACAGATACTAAGGGAGAACATGCAGAAAGACCCCTGTCCGGGAATCAAACCCAGAACCTTCTTGCTGCAAGGCAGCAGTGCTACCCAATGCACCACTGATGACTTTCGTGTAGTGTTTTAGTTTCTTTAGCATTTACAGTATTATGGATAAATATAGATTAGTATTATCAGCATAGCAGTGTAATTTAATCCCATGCTGTCTGAGAATGATACCAACTGGGAGCATATATATTGTAAATGGGATTAGCTCTAGCACTGATCCCTCTGACATTTCACAGTTAAAGTTGGACCTTTTGGAGGGTTGATCATTAACATGACCAAACTTTGATTTTAGAGCAGATGCAAAGCTTTAACTTCCTATGTTAGATATTAACATACTGTTCACTGGAGGTGTGATAGTAACCTGATAAAAACCTGGTCTATTGTCATTTATCTGTAACATAAGCCACTCCATCCTCAAGTGAGTTTTATGGGTTTCATCTATTATGATTCTATGAAATCTTCAAGATCAAAACTGGGCCATTTAGGTCCATCACCGTACAGAGCTTTCCTGAAACACAGGAATCTTGTTATGCAGCTAACCCACAGCCACTACCTATGCTCCCATCATTTCAATACTTCTGCTGCTGCGTTTGTTGCAGGGAACCACGAAAAAGGCCAAGAAACCAGACCGTAAAGAACGGGTCAGTGAGCAGACCTACCAGCTTTCCAGATGGACCCCACTCATCAAGGATCTCATTGAGGTGCTGCTCACATGGTGTAAATGTAATGATGGTAATAGTAACTCTGTATTGAAAATATACAGACTGAGATTTGTCGTGTTTCTACAGGATGCAATCGAGGATAAACTTGACCCTAAACAGTATCCATACATCTCCCAGCGACAGGTTTCTGCCAAAGCCAGTGCCCCATCAAGGTGCACCGTCATATAATACAAACATCACATGATGCAATGTTTGATATTGTTTCTGTAGGAAGAAGTTAGATGTTTTTAACTGCTCACTGTTGTGCTAATATGTCTTTTTTATGTGCAAATATGTTTTTTTTCTCATCATGCAGTGCTCGCTATGGCAACTGGCACAAGAACCGAGGCCCCACAGAGATAAAGACGGGCCCCAGGATCATAGTCTTCATTATGGGAGGCATGACATACAGTGAGATGCGGTGTGTGTATGAGGTCACACAGGCCAACGGAAAATGGGAGGCTCTGATTGGTATGTTTCCTGAAGCCTTGTGAATACAGACCAGCAATGTTTTGGGTCTGGATTAAAGAAATAACCTGATGTCTGTCAGAAAATCTGGGTTTCCATTTATAACTTTATTTTTATTTATTT